TGGCCGCTTGAATATCCTCCTTGGTGAAGTGTCTATTCATGTCTTCTGCCCATTTTTTAATTGGATTGTTTGTCTTTTTGTTATTGCGGTGTTGAAGTGTAATTGTGAACATTTTTTCATGTGTGTGTTGGCCTCCTGAATATCCTCTTTGGTGAAGTGTCTATTTGTGTCTTCTGCCCATTATTTAATTGGATTATTTGTCTTTTTGTTTTTGATGTGTTGGAGTTTTCTATAAATTTTAGAGATAAGTCCCTTGTCAGGTATGTCATTGTCAAATATTTTTTCTCAGTCTGTAGGATTTTTACTCCTTTGGAGAAGTCTTTGGAAGCACATAAAAATTTGATTTTCAGAAGGCCTCATTCATCTAATTTATCTTCAGCTGTTAGTGGATTTTGGGTTATGCTTGATAGTCTATTTATGCCATATATTGTTGTTGTTGTTGTTGTTATGTGCCGTCGAGTCAAACCCGACTCATAGCGACCCCTTCTTGGGTTTCCGAGGCAGCATCACTACGGAAGTAGGATTGCCCAGCCTTCCTTATTAGGGCCCCTAAATTTGCTTCTAGTTTTTCCTTGAGAAACTTTATAGTTTTAGGTTTGACATGTAAGTCTTTGATCCATCTGGAGTTAGTTTTTGTATAGTGTGAGGTACAGATCTTGTTTCATTTTTTTTGCAAATGGATATCCAGTTTTGCCAGCACCATTTGTTAAACAGATAATCTCTTCCGCATTTAATGGATTTCAGCTGTTTATCAAAGATCAGCTGCTCATAGCTCGATGGATCTATTTCTGGGTTCTCAATTCTTTTCCATTGGTCTGTGTGTCTGTTGTTGTACCAATACTAGGCAGTTTTGACTACTTTGGCTGTATAGTAGGTTTTGAGATCTGAGAGTGTGAGATCTCCTATTTTGTTCTTCTTCTTTAGTAGTGGTTTGCTTATCCAAGGTCTCTTTCCAAAAGAGAGCATTTTTTAAAAGTCTTTTTACAATACCAGAACACAGGAAATATTTAGAAATAAATCTGATAAAATATGGGCAGAATCTGTGTACTGAAAACTATGAAACACTGATGAAAGAAATCAAAGACAACCTGAATAAAGGCATAGATACATTCATGGACTAGAAGACACAACTAGTACAGATGTCAGTTCTTTCTCTTTTGAAGTATAATTGCAGTCATCACCTTGTTATCTTACAAGAGATGAAAGGAGAGGGAAAAGAACAGAGGAGGAGGGACCTCAGTACTACTAAGAAAGAACTGGGATCAGAGCATGTCCTTTAGACCTGAGGTCCCTACCCTGAGAACGTCCTAGACCCTGGGCAAGATTGAAGCCAAGACGCATGGAGATCTCCAAGGAACATGCCCACAGTTGCTGAAGGGAGACAAAGACCTTCTCCTGGAACCGATGGCCTGAATTTGGACTTCTGACTTCCCAAACTATGAGAAAATAAATGTCTGTTAAAATTGGGGGAAAAAAGAAGAAAGAAATTACTGTCAAAATCCCAAGAGAATTTCTTTACTTTTTTTTTGAAAATTTTTTATTGTGATTTACAGAGCAAATTGATTTTCCATAATTCACATACACTTTATCTCATGACATTGACTGCAGTTTCCCACAGTGCAACAGCTCTCGTCCCACTTCTTTCCCATAGCCACCTCTTCCCTGTGTCCTTCTCTCCCATGCAGTCCTGCCCCCAAGCTGTCTCTCTATTGGTACATAGCCCTTCTGTTCTCCCATGATTGATCTCTCCAAGGAGTGTATCTTCATAGTGTAAATGTTCAGCTTATTTGCCTATCTTTTGTTTGGCTGGAAGCCACAGGAGTGGGTTTAGTTCCAGTCCTGAAGGGCCGCTAGGGGCCATAATCTCAGGGGTTTCACCAGGCTCTGTCAGACTAGCAAACGTAATACCCCCTTTTTTTTTAGTGATTTTGAGTTTGTTCCATGTCATTCCCAAGAGAATTTCTTGTATGTGTTGAAATCCTTGAAGAAAGTCTGTCCTTTTGTGAAAAGGTAAGTCCCACACAGAATACTGCCAGGCATGAATGCTTGTGCCATCCTCTCTGTGCTGGCATTTGTCATTCCCTCCAACCCCTAACCCCAAGATTTTGCTGTTTTAAGCAAAGAGATGGAAACAACCTAAGTGCCTATCAACAGAAAAATGGATAACCAAACTATGGTACATACGCACAATAGAGTACTATGCAACACTAAAGAATAGTGTAGAAGCTGTGAAACACTGCATAGCATGGATGAACTTGGAGGCTATTACGCTGAGTGAAGTCAGTCAATCACTGAAGAACAAATATTTTATTAGTCTACTACTATAAAAAGTCAAGGAAAGGTTTATATATGGGAGGAAACTTTTTTTATTTTGTGGGAAAACCACAAACCAAACCCGCTGCCATTAACTCGATTCAAACTCATTGTGACCCCCAGTGGGTTTCTGAGATGGTAAATCTTTACAGAAGTAGATTGCCCTGTCTTCCTTCTGTAGAGCAGCTGGTGGTGGGTTTGAACCTCCAGCCATCTGGTTAGCAGTCAGATGCCTTAGGCACTGTGCCACCAAGGATGGGAGGGTAGAGAAATTGCTGGATACTTTTTCCAAAGTATTGATTTAGGTGCAGGGAAAGGCAATATACCAAATTGAGTGACCAACACAGTAACACTAAGGAAAATAAAGACAGAGGTGCATAAGAGGTACAGACAACAAAGATAACTTTTACATACTCAATACTGTGTATTGGTGATAACAAACATTAATCCATGAGTAAATAGATGGGTGACACAAACAGACACACTGCCGTCGAGTCGGATCTGGCTCATAGTGACCTCTCCTTGGGTTTCCAAGGAGGTATCACTATGGAAGTAGATTGCCCAGCCTTCTTTCGAGGAGTGGCCGATGGGTTTGAACTGTCAGCCTTCTGGTTAGCAGTCAGATGCCTCAGGCATTACGCTGCCAGGGGTCCTAAATAGATAGGATACGCTAAATGATCAGGTATATCTAGGTAAAAGGAATATATACATCATATATAAGTTTGGCAGATGATATTTTTATGCATATATTTGTATGTGCTGTAAGAATGTCCATATAACTGGAACGAACAGGGCTAAGTTACAACTTACTAGGTACAGTCATCCACCCTGATGGAGCAAATTGTTGAACATTTGGGATTGGGGCCATGGTCACGGGGAACATCAAGCTCAATTGGTGTAACATACTACATGAAACATTGTTTTACATCCTACTTTGGTAAGTAGCAACTGGGGTCTTAAAAGTTTGCAAGTGGCTATCTGAATGCAACAGTGGATCTCATTGTCCAGAGCAAAGAAGAATGAAGAAAACCAAAGACCCATGGAAACAATTAGTCCAGGGGACTAGTGGACCATGCACACCTCAGCCTATATGACCATAAGGCGAGAAGGACCAGATGGTGCCCTCTTAATACTTTCAACCACTTGGAAAGGGATCAGTGTAGGAGATCTTGGATAGAGTGGGAGAACAATGTGGAACAAAACTCAAAATCAAAAAAAGACCAGGTTTACTGGTGGGATAGAGCCTGGTGATACCCCTAAGACTGTAGTTACCCTTCAGATCAGGAACTGAACTCACTCCTGTGGCTTCCAGCCAAACAATAGATAAGCATATAGGGTGAACATTTATTTACGTCAGGCAGATAACACTCCTTAGAACGATCGATCATGGGAGAAGAGAAGGGCAGTCTTTGCACAGAGATAGCTCAGGGGGCAGGAAGGCATAGGGAAGAAGGACGCAGGGAGGAGGTAGCTATAGGGAGAAATTGGGAAGAGAGCAGTTACATTGTGGGGATTTGCAGTCGATGTCATGAAACAAAGTATGTATGAAGTGCTGTATGGAAAATGAATTTGCTCTGTAAACTTCTACCCAAATCACAGTACAAATTAAAAAAAGAAAAAAA